ACTTTTGGGTAAAAAAATGTGGGTAAAACAACAAAGTAAACGAGTACCCAGGATGAGTTGGGTAAGAACTACCTAATGTTGTGTCAAAAAGGGAACATGGTTGTCGTTGGGTAACATTTTATCTTTTACATTGGGTCAAACATAATTATCGCACATCAGTTGAATAAAATATATAGTAAACATTTTCTGGGTGAATTTGTACCCAACCACCCCTGTGTCAAATTTTACCCAACAAACATGCATGTTCCCTTTTTACTCTCGTAAAGTGTAAAATTTTACCCAATATTGGGTATCTTTTTTTAGAGTGTAAGAAAAACAGAGGGGTGTGCTGGGTATAAGAGACGATGTGAATTACTTTTGTAAAATTCCGAGTCTGTAGTCAAAAGGGGCGATTCAGGGTACCCCCCCCCCCTTTCCCGGGTATATAAACATGCCATATCCCTTGATTTCGCCCCTTCTTTACTTTATGTCTGACTACACCCATCTGCATTGTCCTGAAAATAAATATATGGAATAACAGCTTAGACCCCAATGGCAAATCATGCATTTTAACTGCATTATTTAAAAACTGTAAAAGTTTGTTGCAATTCTTCCCCTAACATTCTTAACCTGAATAAAAATATTACGAATACGAATGACAGGTGTTAATTTGAATGATAAAAATTACGTTTCGACAAGCGAATATTAATTTGAATGCTAGTTGAGCAGTTTCTAAATTGAATGACAGATCTATCAAACCCTTCGACCAAAATCCTAAATTGAATACAAAAACTGAAAAATTGAATGATAATTGGCATGGCAAAGCCGATCTGCGCTAACGTAAATGCAAAGTAAATGAATTCGAATGACAAACACGCGAATTTGGCCGGGAAATCCTATACTGGTACATTTGTCCGACTTGCTTCGAAGTACAACATTTAATGATAAGGACTGTTTTTTATGGGGGACTTCAACATACATATACTCAAATGTGCCACTAACAATATCGCCCATGAGCTCATGGAAACTTTCTTATTTGCCTCCTTCCGTGCCGCTTGTTTCTAAACCCACTTGCGTAGCAAATCTGTCTGCCAGTTTAATAGACAATATTTTCTCCAACGTTACTCCTCATCCTGATTCATACAATCATTCTTTCTGATGCAACCGATCACTACCGGTATCCCATTTTGACGTACTACACTGTATCCCAGTCACTTAATAATCATGGTCCCCGCCTTCTAAGACTTAAAGTTAACAATGCGAATTTAACCCGTTTAAGTGCTATGGTCTTGAAAATGTGGATTGGTCATGTGTTTTTGATAAAGATGATGTGGAATTTTCGTAAGATCTGTTTTGTCACATTTTGAACACCCAGCTAGATTCGTTTATTCCCTAACAATGAGACAATAATAGAAATTATAAAAAGTCCAAGAGACTTCCATGGATATCATAAGTCTCTACTCCCCTCTATAAATCTGGAAGAAATAAAACTTTATTATAAGTATAAATCAAAAGGTACAGGCAAAACTAAACATAAATATACATCCTACAAATATACATCCTACAAAAATACTTTGACTAAAATCATACGTTTAGAAAAGAAAAAGTACTTTATAAACCAACTTGAACTACATAAACATGATATGAAAAACACTTGAAAAGTCCTGGAAAAAAACAATGAATGTGGCAAACAATAAAGCTCTTATAACGGAAATCAAACCTAATGATGGAATTGTACAGGAGCCCGTAAACATTGCTAATGATATATTTAATACCCACTTTCCTCCATAGGGGATAATCTTGCGAAAAATATACCTCCTTCCAATAAACATTTTACAGATTTTCTTGCTCTAGCTAACTAGAGTTCTATATTTTTTACTCTGACATATACCCATGAAATTATAGACATTGTTTCAAACCTAGACAATAAGACAAGTTCTGGCTACGATTGAATCAATAATGTTATCCTTAAAGCCATTATTCCATTTATAATAGATCCCCTGGTTCATACATTTAATTTGTCTTTGCTACATTGGAAAATTCCCAACTCTATGAAAATTGCTTTATTTAATAAACAGGACAAACTAAATGTAAACAACTATCGACCAATCTCTTTGTTATCTCCTTTCTCCAAGATCTTGGAGAAAATCATATATATTAGAACACTTGCCTTCCTAAAAGACCATGTTTTTTTTCCAACTTTCAATTTGGTTTTAGGGAAAAGCATAGTACACTCTAAAAACTGAAATGTTAAATAACCATTTAAAAGGGCCGAGGAGTGACCACTCTTTCAAAATGGTAGATTAACACTTTGAACATGCTGGATCCAACATTATAAAGGTTGAATCTAGCAGGTTAAAAGAAACAATCTGACATTTTGAAAGAGTGGTCGCTCCTCGGCCCTTTTAAATTGACATTTATCATTTCAGTTTTTAGAGTGTACCATTCATGCTTTATTATCTTTTGTAGAGAAAGTAGCTCATGCTATTGCCAAAATATTGTTGGTAATTTCCTGGACTTCTCCAAGGCCTTTGACACAATAAACCACGATACATTACTTTATAAACTTTCCCATTAACTTGTACTTTTGAGTTGTTCAGGAACTATGATAGTTCCTGAACCACTCCAAAGTACAAGGTAATGGGAAAGTTTATAAAGTAATAATCGTTTAAAAAGACATAAGGCTTTCTGTTAGAAAGATAATCTTTCTAACAGAAAGCCTTCTTTCTAACAGAAAACCTTATGTCTTTTTAAACAATTGTTCATCAGATTTATGTAACGTTAGCTTTGGTGTTCCCCGGGAAGGCCTGCTACATGTAGGTCCAGTTTTATTCATTTCATATATAAATGATTTCTGCAGATCATCTCATATTTGATCGTGTTTTTTTTTGCTGACGACACGAATCTGTTCTTTTCCCACAACAATCCATACACTCTTATGAAAACGTTTTATTCTGAACTATGTAAGATTCTAAAATGGATTAGAGCAAACAAACTTTCACTTAATCTCCCAAAATCTAAATATATTTGTTTAGTAATACTATAGGCTCACTGCCAAACAACATTGAATTAAATGACTTTCCGTTAGCGAAATTTTTGGGCGTAACAGTCGACAATAAACTCTCATGGAAGTATCATATTGACAACATCTGTAAAACTATTTCTCGTAATATTGGTGTCATGAATAGATTAAAAACTCATCTTCCTTACTTACGCTTTATTCCTCTCTGGTCTTACCATATCTAGATTATGGACTCCTGGTGTGGGGCAATATACACCAAACTATGTTAAACAGAACCTTATAGTATATTACGAAAGCATTGTAATGACTTTCATCTACCTCTGCTGAGAACCCTTCTAGCTAAAAACACGTTTATTTATACAGCCCCCTAATTTTGGAACTCCCTTCATAATGAAATCCAACTTGCCCCCCTCACTTAAAGGTAAAGACCAATATTGGAAACGCCCCAATTTCAAAAAGAGAAATGGAAGCTCTTATTACCAATTATGTGAAAGAATATGTTTTGACTAATACATGATGATAAAAAATTTGCAGGGAAACCGCCTACTAATTGATATATTTGGTAAATTAGTTTGTCTATGGTCTGTGAGAGATAAACGCACGTGTCGCACACGTGTGCGTATAGTCCCATATACATCTTTCTGTGTACAGTGCTTGTAACTTTACGAAGACAGGGCCAAATTTCTTATCATTTTGATGATTCCAGAACCTTGCAGTACACACCAATACTTATATGCTAGATGATCAACCTTCAAGATGAAGGACATATATAAAGCAAAGAAACAAATAAACTAATTCAACAAACAGAGAAGAAAAGCAGAAGAAAGAGACATAGATAGAGGGAGACAGAGAGAGAGAAAAAGAAAGAGGAAGAGAGAAACAGGTGTCATCACTACGCGACACATCTATAATCGATGTGTAGATACTTATAGGTACCATGGCAGGGATCGCCACCTAGACAGGGGCGGCGATTTCTTTCCATGAACGGGGGGGGGGGGGGGGTCGGGGACGAAATGCGAGAAACGAGGGAGGAGTGAGGTGGGAAATCTGCATCACCACCGCCCTTATTTGTTACATGCAGGCCCCGTGGAACGTTTTTTCACAGTGGGAGGGGGAGGGGGCTCAAGTATTTTCGATCAGATAGAGCAAGGCAGGTGGGGCGTAAATTGGCGCAGGGTCCAGGTCAAAGCCCTGGCGGGGGTCAAGGGGCGGAGCCCCATGGAGCTCAGAGTTTTAGGCATTTAATAAGGGTCAGATGAGCATTATTTTGATACCTTATTTGTGACACTTGTATGCAGGTCACTAATCGGAGTGGGGTCCAGGGGGCGAAGCCCCCAGAAGCTCAGCGGTTTTAGGCATTAAATTACGATCAAATGAGCATCCAGGGGCCGCCTTAGGGCCCTTGTTGGGGTCTAAGGGGCGAAGCCCCCAAAAGCAACGCCATTTCAGCAACATTTGTAATTGGTATGGAATTAGAAATAAACCACGCCCGATTGAGTGAGCGAGAGGGGTGAAGTTGACGAAAGTGACTACCCCCTCACAGGTTTTGAAGTTTTGTTGTATTACAAATTATATTCCTTAACAAAACTATAGTATGAAAACAAACTTTTTTCACACTTCACTTTTCTACAATATTTACTTGTACATTTTGAAGGATATTATGCGAGGGAGCAGAGCTCCCGAGCCAGAAGATTTTTGCATTTGTATTTGTCTAAACGCCGCACTAGCTCTTGGGCCCCCAAAGCCTAATAGCAGTCTTTAGTCAGTACTTGCTGTACATTATTTTTTTGCACTTTTTCATATTTTCCGGGCGGGACGACCTACAAAAATCGACCTACAAAAATCGAGGGGGGACGAGTCCCCCCCGTCCTCCCGGGATCACCGCCCCTGCACCTAGGACACTACTTACAGAAAAGCAGAAAAACAGAAGAAAGAGGCATAGAGAGAGGGAGGCAGAGAGAGAGAAATAGAAAGAGGAAGAGAGAAACAGGTGTCATCACTACGCGACACATCTATAATCGATGTGTAGATACTTATAGGTACCACGGCAGGGATCGCCACCTAGGACACTATTTACGGCGTTAACAGTGCAACTCTGCTCCCCTTGGCAAGTCGTCCTTACGTATAAGGGATTCAGTGACATGCAGTCCACATTGGACGTTGTCGCCGGCCGGGTTTTCGCGCAAGTTGTTGTGTCACTTCGGCCATAGATGGACGAGCAAATGCTGATGGTCTGTCCAGCCGAGCAGGTGATCCTTGGTTCGTCCTTTCCCTCACATATGTCGATGCTTACTGTATTGGATCAAATGAGAAGAATATGGTCATTGGCAAGCTAAAATGCCCAATAATTTAAGAAAAGTTCAATTCAACGACTTCGTCTTCCGTTAGAAACTCTGGATCAATGTAAGCTCGGTTTTTTCATTTTAAAAATTGTTTATGAGCGACAAGTCAGTTTCTCCAGCGAAAATCAATCTTTATCGCAAAAAAATAAAGTTTATCAGTACATAATTAACTTATGCAAAGTTTTCGTTTAAAAAAGAAACTGAGTTTACCGGCGATGAACTTAGTTAAAAAAATAATAATAACTGCGCATTTGGCTTGTCATAAAAACAGTACAGTTATTGTTAAAAATGGCCTGTGCATGCTTTCAAGGCCGAATGGTCTTATGGAATGCACTGCTTCCCCCATCAACAGGCTAGCGCATATGAAAACACGGCGACCTTTTCATTCCATATGCCGATCTGCTTATCTTTTAATCAGCATGAACAAATCACAGCATTGAGTGATTATGCTTCCGCGTCTCTGCGAGAAATCACAAGCGGTTATAACACATTACCCCAATGAGAAAATCCCCCTGCTTGTCAAATAACACGATCTTCGATGCCGATGGTAAATTTTGCATTTGAGTGGTAAATTGAAAGTGATAAATACAAAGAATGATACTTATGTGTTTGTGTGAACGATTGACCGCAGCTTTTTAAGTTTGGCCACGCCGTTATTAATAAAGAAAAAATCACATGTCTTTTTGTATATACACCATTTATTTCTTCATAAATATTTCACTATTTTCTTCTTGATAAATCATTTTTGGTTTTTACTGCGTTATTTGGGAACTAGACTTTTAAATTCAAGCGTGTTTAGAGTCTGGTAATATACTCACTCAGGGTTTGTGGGGGAAGGTCGTCCTCGGGTTCGCACGTATAAGTGATCTGAAGGTATTTATATGTGCCTGGACATGGATCATCACCAAATAAACTACTCGATGCAGTCACAGCACATTGGGAAAGACCAGTGCAACACGAAATGGTGTCGAACACACCAGCTGCCATGCAATTTGTATTGCTAACCTTGTCGTGTGGACAAACATCTGCTTCGGTCCTCCCGTAGAGGGCGCTGCCGATGTTGATCCTGCCGTTAGTGCAGTTCAGGACTGTTTTGCTGCCCTCGCATATTGTTACAACAACTAGTGTGAAACATAGGAGAAACAAATAGAAACACAGTTGAAGACATACTGATAGTGATACCCTCACATATCGTACAAAATACTACTAAATGAAACAAGGGGGGGGGGGGTAGATCGAAGCACACCAATCATGTGGTGATTATCAAAATTATAAGCGAAATGCTTTATGGGCCCCTATAAATCTTGACCCTTCCATTTTATTATGGTACGCAAGAGGGAGACCCTTCCCGGTAGCACTACGCATGCAGTGTGAGGGAAGGACCAACTTGTGAGGATCAAGGTAAACGTCCTGGTCTACCTCAAGCTGGTAGGGGTTGTGAGCCATCTGACTTGTTCAGTTGGTGGCGGACAGACCAGGGTGGCTAGGAGAGGAGTGTCTCATTCGCCTAGTGTAACTACACTGTTGCTCATAACGGTGGAATATTTTTTTTTATCCCAATTTATGGAATTATTTAAAATAATTTAAAAATACTAGATCTAGATAATAGTATACAGTCTCAGATTTTATTGAATTTGCCAATATGTTTTTGCGTGACTGCTAAAGCATGTCTGTTATGCTACTATGTTTATCAACTAGGGGACCTATGCCCTTAAGTCATACATGACAGTAATGAGGATTAATGCCTCACAAAAGGGCACTAATATAGCACATCGACACGGTGTTGATCCTGGGCCTCACAGTTACGAGGCCATTGCTTTGTCACTGAACATGACTGTACGTAGCAGGGGCTAGGGTAGGGGGCAGTTTCCATAAATAAAAAAAAAACAGAAAATGCAATAAATTTTCAATAATTTATTGCATTCTACCCCGGTCCCCAACATAAAAAATCTTCTGTGTGCCCATGCATTGAGCCATAATGCATGGCCGTCCAGAGGATTTTTAATGTTGGGGACCGGGGTAAAATGCAATAAATTATTGAATATTTATTGCATTTTCTGTTTATTTTTTTAATTTATGGAAACTGCCCCCTACCCTAGCCCCCACTACGTACAGTCATGGTTCAGTGACAAAGCAATGGCCTCGTAACTGTGAGGCCCCAGGATCAACACCGTGTCGATGTGCTATATTAGTGCCCTTTGTGAGGCATTAATCCTCATTACTGTCATTTATGACTTAAGGGCATAGGTCCCCTAGTTGATAAACATAGTAGCATAATATACATGCTTTAGCAGTCACGCAAAACACATATTGGCAAATTATTATTCAATAAAATCTGAGACTGTATACTATTATCTAGATCTAGTATTTTTAAATTATTTTTAAAATAATTCCATAAATTGGGATAAAAAAAATATTCCACCGTTATGAGCAACAGTGTATATGAGCGAAACTGCATGAATGATGGAAAGCCTAAATAGCACCAGGGTGAAAGCCCCTGATAATACTAACCAGCCCTTTCGACTGATGGGCCAGCAAACTGCAGTGCATGATGATGCATCATCTCCAAACCCAGTTGGAAGAGATCATGTTGATAACCCCAAAGAAAAAACGGCTCTACTAACATAAAAAAAAACTGATAGGTATTGGCACATGGAATGTGCGTACTCTAAATCAAGATGGAAAACTAGACATTCTAATGAGCCAATTGGACAAATTCAAGTGGGAATTGGAGTCTCAGAGACGTCTCACTGGAAAGAATCAGATTTCACCGAGAGAGGATACAAAGTACTGTGTGCTAGCGAGGAAGATGTACACAGGAGAGGCGTCGCTCTGATCCTCAACAAACAAGCACAAAAAGCACTCCTGGGATATAACACCATATCCCCTAGACTGATCTCGGCCAGATTCCAAACACAGGTTGGAGCCTTAACAATAATCCAGGTTTATGCACCGAACATGGCAGACAGAGAGGAAATGATAGACACATTTTATGACCAGCTTCAACAAACAATAGATGACACTCCTAACAAGGATATACTGATAGTGCAAGGTGATTTAATCGCAAAAGTAGGGAGAGACTGGGACACCTGGAAGAACGTCATAGGACATCATGGATACGGAGAATGAACAACAGAGGAGAAAAGCTTTTGAACTTTTGCATGGCCAACAATCTAGCTATTGCAAATACCATGTTCAAACAGAAGAATGCAAGTCGGGAATGGACATGGGAGTCGCCGGACGGGAGAACCAAAAACAAGATAGACTTTGTCATGGTGAACAACAAATGGAAATCAAGCGTCCAATGCGGTAGAAGTTTTCCAAGTGCTGATGTGGCCTCAGATCACCAACTGGTTATCTGCAACTTCAAGCTACGATTCAAAACTAAACCCAAACAGAACGTAATGAAGAGATACGATGTGTCGAAACTGAAAGATGAAAACACATAAAAAAAAACTACCAGGCCATAATCGGAGGGAAGTTCAGACCGCTGCTGGATCACTCTGATACCCACCTAGACATAGAAAGCATCTGGGAAAAGATCAAACAAGCATTTAACAGCACAGCAAAGGATGTTCTGGGAATGAAAAAGAACAGACCGCAGGAAGCATGGATCTCACAAGAAATACTAGATCTCAGCGAAGAACGCAGCAAAATCAAACAAGCCAAACAAAACGACCCTTCACTGAAACCAAGGTACAACTTTCTGAATAGAGAGATAAAGAGGAAGACTAGGGGCTGTAAAGATGCGTGGCTCCAAGACCTTTGCAGTAGAGTAGAAAGCGCACACTAATCTGCTAAATCAAAGGAGCTAGGTCTACGCAACAATTAAGAAAATCACCAAATCAGCATCAAAGAGAATGCAATCAGTTAAGAGCAAGACAGGGAGAACTCTAACAGAAAGATCAGAAGTAAAGGCCCGGTCACACAGAGGGGACGCATGGGGGACGCACGGCCGGCGCATGAAAAATTTGCAATTTTGGTCAGTGCGTTGTCGTTCGCTAGGCGTGCGTCATCACTCGTTACTCGTTCGTCGAGCGCGCTGGACCCACGCTATGCATTCGTCGTCACTCGCTGTGTGCGTCTGGATTTTTTTAGCATGCTCAAAAGTGTGCGCGGAGCTCGAAGTCCAAATAGGAGCCAAAATTCAAGGAACCTGCATAAACAACTTACGTTTTGCAGACGACATCGTCTTGATAGCCGAGACTCCAGAGTAACTGCAGACACTGGTTGATAAAGTCTACAAGGCAAGCTGTGACCTTGGTCTCAAGGTGAACATAGCAAAGACAGAAGTACAAGCTATTAGCAAAAGCAAGCTGATACGACTGCTACAAGCACTGTATGAACAATCCCAGAGTACGGTCAGAGTAAATGGAGAGCTGACAGAGTGGTTCAAGACAACTGTAGGAATCAGGCAGGGGTGTGCCATCTCCCCACAACTTTTCAACATACTCATCGAGCTAGTTATGACCATGGCAATGGATGAAGTCCAAATAGGAGCCAAAATTCAAGGAACCTGCATAAACAACTTACGTTTTGCAGACGACATCGTCTTGATAGCCGAGACTCCAGAGGAACTGCAGACACTGGTTGATAGCAAAGACAGAAGTGCAAGCTATTAGCAAAAGAAAGTGCAATCTCAACATTGACATAGCCAGAATAAAAACAGATGGAAGATTTTGTGTACCTGGGAGGGAAAATAGCAGAAAACGACAAGTGACATTAAGAATCGTATCAGGAAAGCAGGGGCAGCTTTCCAAAGGCTAAATAACGTATGGATATCAAAAAGCATTAGTAGCCACACGAAGATGCAACTGTATCAATCACTCATCCTCTCTAAACTGCTTTACGGGGCAGAATCTTGGACAGTTAAAAAAAGAAGATAGCAACAGACTTCAAGTGTTTGAAATGGCATGCCTTCGTCGCATAATGGGGTGACAAGACTAGATAAGATCCGTAAGACACACATCAAAGGATCCCTCAACCTCGATCAAGATGTTATGGACAAAGTCTCCACTAAAAGACTCAAATATTTCGGCCACGTTCTAAGAATGAAACCTACAAGATACCCCAAAATTGCCGTGGAAGGAAAAGTCACGGGAAATCGACCCAGAGGCCGTCCACCCAAAAGATGGCTCGACTGCATCTCAGAGGACTGCAAAGCAAGATCCATACCAAGGCTGACAGATGCATCAAGACTGGCTGCGGACAGAAAAACTTGGCATACCATCACCATACGTAAGCCATCACGAGGCCCCTGGCCTGCGTGGACGGCATAAGTCAAAGTCAAGCTTTATAGCTGAAATGGTTCTTAGATGCAATTTGCAACGATCAATGAATAGAGAGTGTAAGTGCGGATATATATATGAACCCTCTTTTAGAACAGTCCTCAAAAGATATTATATCGGATAAAGCTCTGTAGCGAACTGTTAATTTGAGGCCTAGTGGGTATAAAATCACCCGACTGCAGATCACAAGGTACGGGGTTCAAATCCGAGCCCAGCTAAAGTCCTTTGGCCAGATGTTCTATGTTTGCCACTCTCCACCAGGTGTTAAATGGGTAGGATGCGAAAGTATAGTTTGTTCAGCATTGTGAGTATCTGTAAAATTACGCCTGGCTGGAATGCTCCCCAGGGGGGAAGGGGACACTTTTTTTTTGTGGTCTCGAAATTTGAAAATTTGACATTTGGCTCGTTGGGGAGGGGGGGGGGGTGTGCATCTGCATCTACTAGACATGCATATATATTTTCATGATTTGTATTCCCTTTTTCGGGAGAAGAAGAGGGGAGAGAGAGGACACTTTTTTTGTGGTCTCGAAATTTGAAAATTTGACATTTGGCTCGTTGGGGGAGGGGTGGGGGGGGGGGGGGAGGTCACCTTTTTAGGTCAGCCATGGGAATATTTTTTTTTTTTTAATTAAAAAAAAAAAAAAAATCCAAAGGGGGGGGGGGTTACCCCCCCCCCCCGTGTACGTGCCTGGATGCACATCACAATGCATATACGTCCATTGTCATCCCTCCGTCTAAGATGGGCGGGATCACCCTGCAATATGAATACGCGATTCCTTTACTAGCAGATCGACCATGAATATTTAGATCTGCTCATGCAGCGAGTTCGGATTGCCATTAATTTGCTAAATTTCAGGAAAACTAAAGAATCCAGTGTCTCGTTAGAGATATAATTTAATCCCTACACACCTTTTTTCGTAAAAGGTCGTCCATAATATCTAAATTCTCTTCATTAAATTGCTGAAATCAACGTAAAATGTGTCTTTTCCCATCGCCGGAGCCGAGTCAAATTTGGTGGTAGAAATACGTACGCACGGCTGCGAGCACGGTGTGTAAGCCTCGTTGTCCGCTGTGTTAAAACTTCGCTTACGCACTTGCATATATTATAGAGGTCGATACGTAAGTTTATAAAAAAATTTTTTATTGGATTGAAATTGGCCCTAGTTTCTCGACAACCAATCAAATTATGTGTTACATCAGACGGCAGGGGATTATATACCCTATGTTTTGACGGCCGAGACCACCCAATAACAATTTAGTTACGAGCGTTATGAAGTACACGACCCCCAGTGAAAAAGGCGAATTTTCCTGTGACCTCCATAGAGAAATGACAAATTGAATGGCTGTTGTTCATTTTTGAAGACGAAAAGGCCCTATTTTCTAGTCTGCAAATCAGTTCGAAATTGATATCAGTGGAAAGAACAGTATTTTAATATGTGATTTCCACCCGAGATAGTGTGTAATTTCTTTGTGAGCATTTCTTTGCACACTTAGCGCATTTTCAAAGACGATTTCACATGTGGAAGACCGCGGAGCGAGACCGCGTGAGCAGATGCTCGAAATGTGTTCATATTCCACAACGTTTCTTTCACAATGCAATCGCATGACCATAACTGATCTTTACCTTTCATTTGTTTAAGAGGGAATTGAAATTGTTTAATTCTTATACTTCCTTTAATACAATACAAATTATTTTAAGTGCATTGTCAAATCATGTCTTGCCTTCTTTGAATCCTTCCCGCCACGTCTTTCTTACGCTCTATAACTTACTATAACTATGGTCACTACCTCCTGGAGTATCCACATTGTGTGCTCTCTCTCTCACTCTCCTTTCTTCTCTTATCCACCTCTCCTCTCTTTTTCTTAACTCTTTACATATACAGCAACATTGTCTATCCTTGCATTTCTCTCTTTCCTTGCTTAATTTCTGTTGTTTTATATATATTTTTTAATTGTATGTTTATGTCAGTCTTCATTGTCTCTTTTGACCTTTCCAATGTGAGGTTAATTGTGTCCCTGCTCAGGCGCGCCGGAAGCAGTTTGGGATTGGGGTGGCTAACATTCCAGAGGGCTCACCTTCCAGGGGCAGTGATGTGATGAGCCAAAAAGTTTGGAAGGGGGGGGGGGGGCAGAAGAAAAATCTGCATTACCACCACTCTTACCAGACGCTAGCACTATTTTTTTTTTTTTTTTTGGCTCCCGAAAATTTGGCATTGGCAGGTCACTTAATTATTTTCTCTCTCTTTCTTTCTTTTTCTCTGTAACATACTTTGTCAAAAAGTGAGAGGGCTCGAGCCCCCGAGCGCAGCGGTTTTACAGACCATGACATAAAGGCTTCTAAATAAGCATATTTTTCGCCCGACTGTAAATTTGGGAATTTCTAATTTTGGAACAAACGCATAAAAAAGTATGACTTACAAAAAAAATTGAGAAAAAAATATTGGAAATTCATGTAATTTCAGCAACATTTGTAAATCACTGGTATCAAATAAGAAGTACCACCCCCCATCAGTACGCCAGCGTTCAGGGGCTCATGTCTTCTCACCCCTATAACAAAAAACAGACACGCTTTCCCAGTCTCTCACAATATGTCCACGATATGCGCGCATTGCTATTATAAAAACCTCCATTGATAAATATAGGTGGCATGCGCGATTTATAGGAAATTTAATTCCTGTTAACTTTTCTTTTCTTTGAAGGGAATTTTATTTGTGATTTAATTCTGGTTTTTATTATTGTTATGTACTTTTGGGTTAAATATACAACAATCTGTACTCCTTTACTGCTTTTTTTTTTTTTTTTTGAGGGGGGGGGGGGGGGCGGCGTTTTTTTTTTTTTTTTTTTTTTTTTTTTTTTTGGGGGGGGGGGCAAACTACGTTTTGCCCCCCCACTTTTTTGATTGGGGGGGGGGGCAACTGCCCCTCTGCCACCCCACTTCCGGCGCCTATGTCGCTGCTCACTGTTTTATTCTACTTTGCTATGTATATTAGGGGTTGACAGATTAGCACAGATGAGTTTTATTGCTTTGGAGTCATCCCAGCTCCTAATTCAATTCTAAGGGTTCATAATTTTTTGTGTATTATATTACGTTTCATATTGGAAAGTATTGTTTTATTTAAGTATATTACATGTGTTTATAGGAGAAAAGGCATGGTTTGTTAGTATTCACAATGTTAAAACTGAGCAAGAAGGTGGTACTGGAGATCAGCTAGCAACAGTTCCCTCAGCATTCAGTTCATGTCGGTGGCAGTATAATTTAAAAGAAATTTCCATGATTAATTCATACCATCCAAAAGGCATAGATATATCATACCTGAGCATGAAGATGGCGTTAGAGACCAGCTAGCAATAGTTCCCTCAGCGTTCAGTTGACAAACTACCGTCAGGTTATTAGGGTCTGATGTGAAGCCATGATTGCAGGTGTAATTGTATGCTTCCCCAGGGCTTCCTTCAGTGATTAAAACAGACTCTGTGTTCGTACCATTTTCAGGTGAGCCACATTTGACCTCTGATTCAGGTGGAGAATGAAAAGAAATTATTACTTTATTTGTTGTATAATTTCATTCTTGTAATTCTACCTTGCGGTTTGTATTTATTATCAATTATCGCGAGTTAAAAAATAGAATTGCTGGTCATTCAGAGTTTCTTTTTGCTTGTTGCCTTTTACCGTGGTAGTAGGGGACTAAAATTCATTACCTTTAGCAAAAGAAACAAGTCATTTTCTATTCTATGTTTCATGCAAGATGGCCGACAGGCCCAAATATAAATAAAGATTTTGATGCATATGCAACGGATTCAACTTTGCTATGTATATTCGAGGTCGACAGATCAGCACAGATGAACTTTATAGTTTTCGATATCATCCCAGCTCATAACTCGATTCTGAAGGGTCATGGTTTTGTGTATTAAATTACGTTTCGTATCTTATTTTAGTCTATTACATTTGTTTAAGGCATGGTTTGTCAGTAGTCACAATGTTAAAATTAAGCAATAAGGTAGTACTGAAGACCAGCTAGCAACAGTTCCCTTAGCGTTCATTTCATGTGGGTGGAAGTGCAATGTAAAAGTTATTTCCATGCTTAATTCAAACCATCCAAAAGGCATAGATATATCATACTTGAGCAAGAAGATGGCGTTAGAGACCAGCTAGCAATAGTTCCCTCATCGTTCAGTTCACAAACTACCGTCAGGTTATTAGGGTCTGATGTGAAGCCATGACTGCAGGTGTAATTGTATGCTTCCCCAGGGCTCGCTTCAGTGATTGAAATAGACTCTGTGTTTGTACCATATTCAGGTGAGCCACATTTGATCTCTGATTTAGGTGGAGAATGAAAAGAAATAATTAAGTTATTTGTTGTATGATTTCATTCTTGTAATTCTACCGGTTTGTATTTATTATCAATTATCCAAAGTTAAAAAATAGAATTGCTGGTTATTCAGAGTTTCTTTTTGTTTGTTACCTTTTACCATGGTAGTAGGGGACTAAAATTTATTACCTTTGGTTAAAGAAACAAGTCATTTTCTATGCTATGTCTTATGCAAGATGGCTGACAGGCCCAAATATAAATAAACAATTTGATGCATATGCAACGGATTCAACTTTGCTATGTATATTCGAGGTCGACAGATCAGCACAGATGAATTTAATTGTTTTCAGTGTCATCCCAGCTCATAACTCAATTCTAAGGGTTCGTGATTTTGTGTATTAAATTATGTTTCGTAATTGCAAAGTATTTCGTAATTGCAAAGTGCGGGCAAACACGGAATCCAATGACCGGGGTAATAGTATATTTGTAAAGCGCTAAGAGACATTTGTATTAAGCGCTATATAAAAATTAAATATTATTATTTGTCAGTATTTTAGTCTATTACATTTGTTTAAAGGAGAAAAGGCATGGTTTGTCAGTATTCACAATATTAAAACTGAGCAAGAAGATGGTATTGGAGACCAGCTAGCAACAGTTCCCTCAGCGTTTAGTTCATGTGGGTGGCAGTATGATTTAAAATATAAAATTCTAAGATTGATTCATACCATCCAAAAGGCATATATATATCATACCTGAGCAAGTAGACGGCGTTAGAGACCAGCTAGCAATAGTTCCCTCATCGTTCAGTTCACAAACTACGGTCAGGTTATTAGGGTCTGATGTGAAGCCATGACTGCAGGTGTAATTGTATGCTTCCCCAGGGTTTCCTTCAGTGATTGAAATAGACTCTGTGTTCATACCATTTCTTGGTGAGCCACATTTTACCTCTGATTCAGGTATAGAATAAAAAGAAATTATTACTTTATTTGTTGTATGATTTCATTCTTGTAATTCTACCTTGCGGTTTGTATTTATTATCAATTATCCAAAATTAAAAAATAGAAACACTAGTATTTCAAAGTTAACTTTTTGGGGGTTGTCTTTTATTCTGGTAATAGGCTACTAAAATTCTTTAGATTTGGTTAACAAAACACGTCATTTTCTATGTTTTTATGCAAGTTGCCGAAGGGCCCATCGATATAAATAAACAATGTGATGCATATGCTACGGATGCAACTTTGCTATGTATATTAGGGGTTGACAGATCAGCACAGATGAGTTTTATTTGTTTTGGTGTCATCCCAGCTCATAACTAAATTCTAAGGGTTCATAATTTTGTGTATTATATTACGTTTCATATTGGAAAGTATTGTTTTATTTAAGTATATTACATGTGTTTATAGGAGAAAAGGCATGGTTTGTCAGTATTCACAATGTTAAAACTGAGCAAGAAGGTGGTACTGGAGATCAGCTAGCAACAGTTCCCTCAGCGTTTAGTTCATGTAGGTGGCAGCATGATTTAAAAGAAATTTCCATGATTAATTCATACCATCCAAAAGGCATAGATATATCATACCTGAGCATGAAGATGGCGTTAGAGACCAGCTAGCAATAGTTCCCTCAGCGTTCAGTTGACAAACTACCGTCAGGTTATTAGGGTCTGATGTGAAGCCATGATTGCAGGTGTATTTGTATGCTTCCCCAGGTTGTCCTTCAGTGATTAAAACAGACTCTGTGTTTGTACCATTTCCAGGTGAGCCACATTTGACCTCTGATTCAGGTGGAGAATGAAAAGAAATTATTACTTTATTTGTTGTATAATTTCATTCTTGTAATTCTACCTTGCGGTTTGTTTTTATTATCAATTATCTAAAAGTAAAAAATAGAAACACTGGTATTTCAAAATTACTTTTTGGGGTTGTCTTTTACCCGGCTACTAAAATTCTTTACCTTTGGTTAACAAAACATGTCATTTTCTATGTTTTATGCAAGTTGGCCGAAGGGCCCATTGATATAAATAAACAATGTGATGCATATGCTACGGATGCAACTTTGCTATGTATATTAGGGGTTGACAGATCAGCACAGATGAGTTTTATTTGTTTTGGTGTCATCCCAGCTCAAACTCAATTCTAAGGGTTCATAATTTTGTGTATTATATTACGTTTCATATTGGAAAGTATTGTTTTATTTAAGTATATTACATGTGTTTATAGGAGAAAAGGCATGGTTTGTCAGTATTCTCAATGTTAAAACTGAGCAAGAAGGTGGTACTGGAGACCAGCTAGCAACAGTTCCCTCAGCGTTCAGTTCATGCGGGTGGCAGCATGATTTAAAAGAAAATTCTATGATTGATTCATACCATCCAAAAGGCATAGATATATCATACCTGAGCAAGAAGATGGCGTTAGAGACCAGCTAGCAATAGTTCCCTCAGCGTTCAGTTGACAAACTACCGTCAGGTTATTAGGGTCTGATGTGAAGCCATGACTGCAGGTGTAATTGTATGCTTCCCGAGGGCTCGCTTCAGTGATTGAAATAGACTCTGTGTTTGTACCATTTCCAGGTGAGCTACATTTGACCTCTGATTCAGGTGGAGAATGAAAAGAAATAATTAAGTTATTTGTTGTATGATTTTAATCTTGTGATTCTACCGGTTTGTATTTATTATCAATTATCCAAAGTTAAAAAATAGAATTGCTGGTTTATATTCAGAGTTTCTTTTTGTTTGTTGCCTTTTACCGTGGTAGTAGGGGATTAAAATTCATTACCTTTGGCAAAAGGAACAAGTCATTTTCTATTCTATGTTTCATGCAAGATGGCCGACAGGCCCAAATATAAATAAAGATTTTGATGCATATGCAACGGATTCAACTTTGCTATGTATATTCGAGGTCGACAGATCAGCACAGATGAATTTAATTGTTTTCAGTGTCATCCCAGCTCATAACTCAATTCTAAGGGTTCGTGATTTTGTGTATTAAATTATGTTTCGTAATTGCAAAGTATTGTAAGTATTTTAGTCTATTACATTTGTTTAAAGGAGAAAAGGCATGGTTTGTCAGTATTCACAACATTAAAACTGAGCAAGTAGATGGTATTGGAGACCAGCTAGCAACAGTTCCCTCAGCGTTTAGTTCATGTCGGTGGCAGTACGATTTAAAAACAAATTTATGATTAATTCAAACCATCCAAAAGGCATAGATAAATTGTACCTGAGCAAGAAGATGGCGTTAGAGACCAGCTAGCAATAGTTCCCTCATCGTTTAGTTCACAAACTACCGTCAGGTTATTAGGGTCTGATGTGAAGCCATGATTGCAGGTGTATTTGTACGCTTCCCGAGGTTGTCCTTCAGTGATTGAAACAGACTTGTGTTCGTACCATCTCCAGGTGAGCCACATGTGACCTCTGATTCAGGTGAAAAATGAAAAGAAATTATTACTTTATTTGCTGATGATTTTATTCTTGTAATTCTACCGGTTCGTATTTATTATCAAATATCCAAAGGTAAAAAAATAAAAACACTGGTATACTAAAATTCTTTACCTTTGTTTTAAAAAAGAAGTCATTTTCTATGTTTTATGCAAGTTGGCCGAAGGGCCCAAAGATATAAATACACAATTTGATGCATAGGCTACGGATGCAACTTTGCTATGTATAGAGGTTGTCAGATCAGCACAGATGAATTTAATTGTTTTCGGTGTCATCCCAGCTCATAACTAAATTCTAAGGGTTCATGATTTTGTGTATTAAGTTACGTTTCATACTTTATTTTAGTCTATTACGTTTGTTTATTGGAGAAAAGGCATGGTTTGTCAGTATTCACAATGTTAAAACTGAAAAAGAACATGGCGTTATAGACCAGCTAGCAACAGTTCCCTCAGAGTTTAGTTCATGTCAGTGGCAGTACGATTTAAAAGAAATTCTACGATTAATTCAAACCATCCAAAAGGCATAGATAAATTGTACCTGAGCAAGAAGATGGCGTTAGAGACCAGCTAGCAATAGTTCCCTCATCGTTCAGTTGACAAACTACCGTCAGGTTATTAGGGTCTGATGTGAAGCCATGACTGCAGGTGTAATTGTATGCTTCCCCAGCTTGTCCTTCAGTGATTGAAACAGACTCTGTGTTTGTACCATCTCCAGGTGAGCCACATTTGACCTCTGATTCAGGTGGAGAATGAAAAGAAATTATTAATTTATTTGTTGTATGATTTCATTCTTGTAATTCTACCTTGCGCTTTGTATTTATTATCAATTATCGCGAGTTAAAAAATAGAATTACTGGTTTATATTCAGAGTTTCTTTTTGTTTGTTGCCTTTTACCGTGGTAGTAGGGGACTAAAAGTCATTACCTTTGGTTAAAAAAACACGTCATTTTTTTATGTTTTATGCAAGTTGGCTGAAGGGCCCAAAGATATAAATACACAATTTGATGCATATGCTACGGATATAACTTTGCTATGTATATTCGAGGTCGACAGATCAGCACAGATGAATTTTATTGTTTTCGGTGTCATCCCAGCTCATAACTCGATTCTGAAGGTTCATGGTTTTGTGTATTAAATTACGTTTCGTATCTTATTTTAGTCTATTACATTTGTTTAAGGCATGGTTTGTCAGTAGTCACAATGTTAAAACTAAGCAATGAGGTAGTACTGAAGACCAGCTAGCAACAGTTCCCTTAGCGTTCATTTCATGTGGGTGGAAGTGCAATGTAAAAGTTATTTCCATGCCTAATTCAACCATCCAAAAGGCATAGATATATCATACCTGAGCAAGAGGATGGCGTTGGAGACCAGCTAGCAATAGTTCCCTCATCGTTCAGTTCACAAACTACCGTCAGGTCATTAGGGTCTGCTGTGAAGCCATGATTGCAGATGTATTTGTATGCTTCCCCAGGTTGTCCTTCAGTGATTAAAGCATACTTTGTGTTTGTACCATCTCCAGGTGAGCCACATTTGACCTCTGATTCAGGTGAAGAATGAAAAGAAATTTTTACTTTATTTGTTGATGATTTTATTCTTGTGATTCTACCGGTTTGTATTTATATCAATCATCCAAAGTTAAAAAAAAAAAACACTGGTATACTAAAATTCTTTACCTTTGGTTAAAAAAACACGTCATTTTCTATGTTTTATGCAAGTTGGCAGAAGGGTCCAAAGATATAAATACACAATTTGATGCATATGCTACAAATGTATAGGGGTTGTCAGATCAGCACAGATGAATTTAATTGTTTTCGGTGTCATCCCAGCTCATAAATAAAATTCATGGGGTTCATAATTTTGTGTATTAAATTACGTTTCGTACTTTATTTTAGTCTATTACATTTGTTTATTGGAGAAAATGCATGTTTTGTCAGTATTCACAATGTTAAAACTGAGCAAGAAGATCGTGTTATAGACCAGCTAGCAACAGTTCCCTCAGCGTTTAGTTCATGTCAGTGGCAGTATGATTTAAAAAAAAATTCTACGATTAATTCAAACCATCCAAAAGGCATAGATAAATTGTACCTGAGCAAGAAGATGGCGTTAGAGACCAGCTAGCAATAGTTCCCTCATCGTTCAGTTGACAAACTACCGTCAGGTTATTAGGGTCTGATGTGAAGCCATGACTGCAGGTGTAATTGTATGCTTCCCCAGCTTGTCCTTCAGTGATTGAAACAGACTCTGTGTTTGTACCATCTCCAGGTGAGCCACATTTGACCTCTGATTCAGGTGGAGAATGAAAAGAAATTATTAATTTATTTGTTGTATGATTTCATTCTTGTAATTCTACCTTGCGCTTTGTATTTATTATCAATTATCGCGAGTTAAAAAATAGAATTACTGGTTTATATTCAGAGTTTCTTTTTGTTTGTTGCCTTTTACCGTGGTAGTAGGGGACTAAAAGTCATTACCTTTGGTTAAAAAAAACACGTCATTTTTTTATGTTTTATGCAAGTTGGCTGAAGGGCCCAAAGATATAAATACACAATTTGATGCATATGCTACGGATATAACTTTGCTATGTATATTCGAGGTCGACAGATCAGCACAGATGAATTTTATTGTTTTCGGTGTCATCCCAGCTCATAACTCGATTCTGAAGGTTCATGGTTTTGTGTATTAAATTACGTTTCGTATCTTATTTTAGTCTATTACATTTGTTTAAGGCATGGTTTGTCAGTAGTCACAATGTTAAAACTAAGCAATGAGGTAGTACTGAAGACCAGCTAGCAACAGTTCCCTTAGCGTTCATTTCATGTGGGTGGAAGTGCAATGTAAAAGTTATTTCCATGCCTAATTCAACCATCCAAAAGGCATAGATATATCATACCTGAGCAAGAGGATGGCGTTGGAGACCAGCTAGCAATAGTTCCCTCATCGTTCAGTTCACAAACTACCGTCAGGTCATTAGGGTCTGCTGTGAAGCCATGATTGCAGATGTATTTGTATGCTTCCCCAGGTTGTCCTTCAGTGATTAAAACATACTTTGTGTTTGTACCATCTCCAGGTGAGCCACATTTGACCTCTGATTCAGGTGAAGAATGAAAAGAAATTTTTACTTTATTTGTTGATGATTTTATTCTTGTGATTCTACCGGTTTGTATTTATTATCAATTATCCAAAGGTAAAAAAAAATAAAAACACTGGTATACTAAAAAATTTTACCTTTGGTTAAAAAAACACGTCATTTTCTATGTTTTATGCAAGTTGGCTGAAGGGCCCAAAGATATAAATACACAATTTGATGCATATGCTGATATGTATAGAGGTTGTCAGATCAGCACAGATGAATTTAATTGTTTTCGGTGTCTTCCAAGCTCATAACTGAAATTCTAAGGGTTCATGATTTTGTGTATTAAATTACGTTTCGTACTTTATTTTAGTCTATTACATTTGTTTATAGGAGAAAATGCATGTTTTGTCAGTATTCACAATGTTAAAACTGAGCAAGAACATGGTGTTATAGACCAGCTAGCAACAGTTCCCTCAGCGTTTAGTTTATGTCGGTGGCAGTATGATTTTAAAAAAATTCTACGATTAATTCAAACCATCCAAAAGGCATAGATATATCATACCTGAGCATGAAGATGGCGTTAGAGACCAGCTAGCAATAGTTCCCTCATCGTTTAGTTCACAGACTACCGTCAGGTCATTAGGGTCTGATTTGAAGCCATGACTGCAGGTGTAAGTGTATGCTTCCCCAGGTTGTCCTTCAGTGATTGAAACAGACTCTGTGTTTGTACCATCTCCAGGTGAGCCACATTTGACCTCTGATTGACGTGAAAAATGAAAAGAAATTATTACTTTATTTGTTGATGATTTTATTCATGTAATTCTACCGGTTTGTATTTATATCAATCATCCAAAGTTAAAAAAAAGCACCCTGGTATACTAAAATTCTTTACCTTTGGTTAAAAAAACACGTCATTTTTTTATGTTTTATGCAAGTTGGCTGAAGGGCCCAAAGATATAAATACACAATTTGATGCATATGCTACGGATGCAACTTTGCTATGTATAGAGGTTGTCAGATCAGCACAGATAAATTTAATTGTTTCGGTGTCATCCCAGCTCATAACTAAATTCTAAGGGTTCATGATTTTGTGTATTAAGTTACGTTTCATACTTTATTTTAGTCTATTACATTTGTTTATTGGAGAAAAGGCATGGTTTGTCAGTATTCACAATGCTAAAACTGAAAAAGAACTTGGCGTTATAGACCAGTTAGCAACAGTTCCCTCAGCGTTTAGTTCATGTCAGTGGCAGTACGATTTAAAAGAAATTCTACGATTAATTCAAACCATCCAAAAGGCATAGATAAATTGTACCTGAGCAAGAAGATGGCGTTAGAGACCAGCTAGCAATAGTTCCCTCATCGTTTAGTTCACAGACTACCGTCAGGTCATTAGGGTCTGATGTGAAGCCATGATTGCAGGTGTAAGTGTATGCTTCCCCAGCTTGTCCTTCAGTGATTGAAACAGACTCTGTGTTTGTACCATCTCCAGGTGAGCCACATTTGACCTCTGATTCAGGTGAAAAATGAAAAGAAATTATTACTTTATTTGTTGATGATTACATTCTTGTAATTCTACCTTGCGGTTCGTATTTATTATCAGTTAAAAAATAGAATTACTGGTTATTCAGAGTTTCTTTTTGTTTGTTGCCTTTTACCGTGGTAATAGGCTACTAAAATTCTAAACCTTTGGTTTTAAAAAAACACACTCAATTTACTACGTTTCATCCTAGATGGCTAACGGGCCCAAAGATATAAATAGATAATTCAATGCATATATGCTATGGATGCAACTTTGTTATAATAAAAATAATATACTAGTTTTTATATAGCGCTTATTACACTGAGCGCTTTCAAACTTGGAGATTATTACCCCGACTCTGTGCTGCCATTACGGCGCTCTAGAATTTCAAAGAGTTAGTTCTTGCCAGGTACCAATTCACATCACCTGGGTAGAGTGTGGCAAATGTAGATCAATGTTGTGCCAAAGGCGGCGGGTCTCGAACCGCGGACCTTATGGTCGACAGTCCGGCGACTTAATCACTCGACCACGGCACCTATGCATGACAGATCCAGTGGCGGATCTAGGATTTGCCGATAGGGGGGGGGGGGGCCTAAAATTTAAAAATCGCGCTGAACAAAATTCTGCTCAGTGGGGGGGGGGGGGGGGGGGGGGTAAGAGCATTTTGTTTCTTCCTCAATTTTGCTCTCGGGAATTCAAAAATTGAGCAGATCATTTTTTGCTCAGTGGGGGAGGGGGGGGGGGGGGGGTAGTGTTAGCACTTACTAGACTCGATTTCAACCGAGACAACGATCATTGAATATTGTAAAATCGCATATGCTCCCAATATATTCATTTCAACCAAATACATGACCCCCATACCAAAACTTAGTAAATACCTTTAAGGAAAATAAAAAATCCAAGATTGTGTCCGAAATGACTACAGTATCCTAAAATGACCCGGGAGTGAGTTAATTGGCTATATTATTATTTTTTTTTTACCGTAAAGCTATAATTAGAAAGATATAAAATATGTTTTAAAGGTCAGGATGTTCACTAAATTGCTTTAAATTAAAATGATACAAAAGATGATCGCCATCTTGTATTGCAAGATGGAAGCCAAAAACTTAAATCAGTCTCAACTCGTGATATATCCTTCTTCTGCAATTTTGGTATCTTTGCCTAGGTTTTGGATTGCGACAAAACCATTAAGACTGTTTAAAATGTGTTATGGTTTTCAGAAAACCTTGAAATCCAAGAAAGCATCCATGACAGCCGGTATCGCAACATTATCAGATTTCGGTTACTATTTACAATATAGAGTTTGTGTAAACCAGGTCCATTTTAAGGGTAAAAATATTCATTCAAAAATAGTATCAACTATAATTGCAACTTTTGTGGAACATTGTATACAAGATGGCTGCCATTGAATCATTAAAAATGGCTGCAAACGCCATAAATCATTTAAGGTATCCCTCCCTTGTCTTTACCTTAGAAGTTAGATTGAGGGTTAAAAATCTATTGAAACTATTCAAACTACAGTTGTTCCTTATGTCAAGCACTAAAAGAAAGCGTTGGAAATCTTTTGTTATTATTTTTTATGGGGGAGGAGGGGGGTCAAACCCTATTTTGACCAAACTACTGTACGTACCAGGTGAATAAAAAAAGTTGGTACATGTAACCCAAGGGTTCTAGAGAGAAACATATGTACAAAAACAATAAAGGTCTATTCGTTTTGATTTTGCCTCACCCGTTTCGCATCGTGAACCAGCGAATCCTGGTGCACAATAACACGTTCCTTCCCGACACGTTCTTCCATTTCCACAGATCACATTGGCACATGGATCAGTGCCTGTGCCGGGATCAGTACCAGTGCCGGGATCAGTACCAGTGCCGGTATCAGTACCACCTGTAGGGATCGTCGGCACTCGCCATTAAAATGCATGCTTATTTTGTTACAAACCTCATACATATTCATGTATTTGTTAGTATTTGTTTATGCGTATGAGCAGCATGAATAGGTGAGTGAAGATAGATTCATTAAAACAAAATATAGCCATAGGTAAAACATAGTTTTTGTTATTTCCTTGTATACACACACACACACACATATATATATATATATATGTATATATATATATATATATATATATATATATATATGTGTGTGTGTGTGTGTGTGTGTGCTGCTTTGAGAATGTGTGTGTTGTGGGGTGCAGGGCGGTTTTATTAAAACACTCATTACCAATAATTATAGTGATCACGATGTTATCAAGAAAAAGTAATGATGCTATAGCATGCAGTTGAAAAGATAATAACCATTTTATAGTACACCAAACTACAACAAAAAAGTAAAATCAAATATATGCTTACTTCCTTGCGGCACTGCCAGTTCGTACAGTTCCGAAAAGAATCGAAAAGAAACAAAAAGATGAATGGAAAAGCAGGCACGTAGCCAGAGTTTGATGTATTAGAGGGGCACATACATGTAATTGATCAACGTCCTGGGCAGGGGTCTAAAAAAGTTCAACCCCCGTGCCCCCCCCCCCCCATGGCTACGTGCCTGTGGAAAAGTACACAAGTAGTTGTTAAAATGTATACTCAACAACAGTCCAATGCCAATAAATTTGCCAGTCACATTCACCCTAGAAAATTAAAGTATTAAGAGATTCATCATTTACCTCAACTGTGCCATTGAAAAATTTGATTTCATTGTAAATGATTTCCATTAATTTGAGTATGTCTGGAAGCCCTAATATTTGTATTTTTATTAGTCAAAACATTTTGTTTGCGACAATTCGCTCTGGTGACCAGTTACCACCACTACAACTTTCAAAGTTAACTGAAATTTAAAAAAAAATCTTTTTCTAGCTCAAGTATCTTGGCAAATAGCGCTATATTTATTTCGTAATTAAAAAAAAAAAAAAGTTATCACTCACACAGGCATACACATGCACGCACACACATTAGCAACTCCACGTCGTGCTAGAAAGATCGTACAATGGATATTTCTTTATAATTTTATATAAAATGTTTGTCAATATTTCAATTAATGCATTCATCTTAAAGGAATAGTTGAGTTCTAGTTTCAGACTGCAAATGCCTGCAAAGTACATGGTTATTGCTCTTATTCTTATGTATGAAATTTCTAGTGCTCTTTTAGGACCTAAAATTGCTATGAAGGTAATTTCATACCCCCGAAATGTGTGAGATTTAGCCAATATAATCATACCAATTCAGGACCACTTTCAAAAATATGGTGACCGTTAATTAATCAATTAATTTATAATAACAATACACGGGCCGGCTGGTTGTGCGTATTATAACCAACATACACTGTAAAAAAAGCCAACATCAGCATTGGCTGGAATAAAACGTATTAGGCGCTATCTCGTTTTTCAACGGCAATATTTGTGGGGCACCAAAAATATTAGAAATCGTCTTATTTCTCTCTGAACAGATTTTGACCAAAACAAGATGATTTTGTCATTTAAGTTGTATGTTCTTTCAAATTTGACACTCAGTCTTTCATTATCTCACAAAAAGATTATTTTGTGAAGTGCTCTCTGCAACAAAACTCAACTATCCCTTTAAATGCAAATGAAAAGATTACCAACAATGCAACAATATTGTTTTGACTCACAGAACAGTGCGAGGGCGACAGCTCCAATTATAAGCAACAAGACGATAAGAAACATGATAATGGACGTAAAGAAACAGATCATCCGTCTATAACGCAGGTACATCATCTCCTCATAAGCAGTCATGGGATAGTGCCTTCTGCGACCCATTGAATCATCACCCAATCCGCTGTTGTAAGGACGGCCAAAAGTCACGTCTGCATCGTATCTAAAGAACATTTGCGGCGATGCATGTTCATGCTTAAACTTAGGGGCCGGTCCACCTCTGTACCAGTTATACTGGTAAACATATGAAAATAGA